ATAGGGGGGTGCTTTCAAAGGGGGGGAACGAGCATATGCGTACCCTAAATAACACTGAGTGGGGGGGCCGGGGTACGTGCCTATACACATATACTGAATTGTGTACATTATTATAGTGACTTCTCCCTATAGACTTTGATACGTAATATGTTATATCGTCTGTGATTTCTGACTTTCGTTTCATGCGTCCTAACAGCAGGCAAACAAAGTCAGCGTGCAGGGTTTAGTCACGGTGCATTTTACAACACTACCAGGGGGCGCCACAAAGCGGACCCGCTTTACAGTACTAGTCACAACATCTGGCTGTGCGGCAACAAATACAGTAAGGTTTTGTTCGTATTTTCAAATAATTTTGATATAGTTACGTGTACTAGTTCTGTGTTCGTATCAGGTGAAAAATTTGGTGAACCGAGAAAGTGACTAGCTACATGTAGTTTCTCCAGCTGTTTTTTTAGTCAAAATTCAATGACAACACACTGCAATTGTTGTGAAGCAATTTTGCAGGATTCATAGACAGTGTGCCGTTTTTTTGCAGGATGGAAGTATCATGTGGATTAGTGCAGAAGAGATGAAAAAGCAACATGACTCAGCCAAGCTGCTCTTGCTAGGTCCCGAACCAATGGTTCTTGCTCAACAGATAGAAAATGGTGTGTATGCTATGGATTGAAGAGATTTAAGGATTATGGATTTATGGTCAGAAGAGGTTTTGAAGAGAAAAGGAGAAATTTTTTGAGGGGGGGGGGATATTTCTAGGTCCTGAACCAATGGTTCTTGCTCAGCAGATAAAAATGCTGCATATGCTTGGGTGGAAAAATAAGAATCATGTTTGGGGTAGTTTTGGGGTTGTTTCTAGGTCCTGAACTAATGGTTCTTGCTCAACTGGTAGGAAATGTTTTGTACACTGACTGAGGTTCGATGAGGGAGACTCGCTGGGATCCTGCTGATGCTTCTTACTGAACAGATGAAATCTGCATCTATACATGCCCTCATCTGTAGAGATGGAAGTTGTCAGCTAGGAGCGAGTGTTGTCCTGTCCACGACCTCGCGACATCCCATCACACCCTCCCGTCGCACCCCTGCCCACGACCTCCCACCCACGATCTCCCATTGCTGCCCCCACACACTACCTCTTCCCACTACCTCCCCCTGCAACCCACCTGCCTGTAGCAGCAACCGCACCTCCTCCAGTGACCTATGTCAGCGACCCCTACCGCGACATCCCCCGCCACCCCCGCCCACAATAACAAAATCTCTGTTGCCGCAGCTCACACCAAGTGTCAGGACGGCGGCGGCAGCGGCAGCATCCAGATGGCTTCGGTGACGGAGGATCTGTTTGAGTACGTTGGCACGGGGGAGGAGGGCGCGATCGAAGCCGTGCACGCTTCCCAGCAGGACCTCCTCGTCAAGTCCGCCAAGCTCGGCAAGAAAGGTGAGCGCGCGCGTCGATGGACCGACCGACCGACCGACCGACGAATTTGTTTTCTCGTGAACTGTGAATATTCGCGAGCAGAATAGATGCATTTCATGCCGCACTGAGAATGCTTCGAGTATTTTTTGCTCACGGAACAGATCGATGAACGGACGAATTTGTTTGCCACGAAGCGCGAATGTTTGTGAACAGAACAGACGGGGGGAATGGATGGATGTATCTGTCGAAGCTGCGAACATTTGCACGTGGAAATTGCCACGTAAGAAACGACAAGCACGATGCATGTCGGCTAATTCACTGATCTAATCCATCCGAGATATGTAACAAATCACTCTTAGATGTTGTTCACAAGACCGGTGAAACTCGCCCGGGTTTATATGCAAGTTTTTTTTATCGAGTTGCTGATTCGTGCGTTGGTTTTTTCAGAGCAAGAACTGCTGTACGTGGAGTTCATGGAACTGTGCTATCCGGTGAACGTGATGAACTCTGCTACGTTCACCGAGCTGTTCACGAAGAAAGGCATTCCGGCAGACAAGGTTGAGAGCTATTTCAGGTGACGTTCACATCGAGTGTATAATATAAGCAGGGGGCTGGATTTCAATGTTTTAGGATGACGCAATTCCTGCCTTTGGTTTAATCAGAAATTTTATGACACCCCGGAAAGTTGCGGAAGCAACATTTCCTCTCCTAAGAAGAGTTAACGGGACCACGTAATGTTTTATGTCGAACAAAGAGGAATGCACACTCTAAAATCATGGCTGTTGTGATCGCGTACATGTAGAACGGTTGGTACGTAAACGTGTTTTCTGCAGGGCCTTTGACATAGACTGCAGCAAGTTTGTGTCGTACAAGCAGCTGTTGGTGGGACTTGCCGCCATGGAGCCGACCACACAGCACGGTGGCGCCCCTGCTGAGCAGCGCTGTCGCTACATCTTCCGTTTCTACGACCAGGACCAGGATGGCTATTTGCAATTTGAGGAATTTAAGTGAGTGCAGACTTGGCTGGTGACCTGGCGACGTTAAGCCAAAGATGGCGCGCACGGTTGAGTCGCAATCGTTCGGCTCGCCACGTCAACATGGGGGGTTTAGTTGTTAACACAGTAGAAAACATAGTAGGGATATAATACATGTACGCATTTATAATAGAATACGAAATATAGGCATAGCCTAATGGCAAGTGTCATTACATTATCTGACCTTTGCATGGAAATAGATGTATACATGTTTATATTTATTTCTATGGACTTATATAATAAAAAGTGTTAAAACATATTATATTAACTTATATAAGATGTGATAGGTGGCACGGTCAAAGACGTTTGTTATGATTGGAAACGCACTATTTTTATTTTTATTATTATTATTGTAACTTATTAATCTTAATTATTATTATTACCTGGTAATTTATATTTTTATTATTAGTTTAGTATTTGTATTGTTTATTAGGAATATCTGGCTAATCTGACACATATTCACCCATATGATATTATCCGCTAATCTAGACATCCTCCTGACCAGAAATGGATACGCATACTTTTTGGATCGCATAGTATAGTATAAAGAGCTCACTATGCTCGCTATAAATATTAGATAAATAAATATAATTATAAAATGAGCATGATATAATACGCATATATGTAAACCAAGCTAAATTTCTATTGAAAATCAGGACAAATGTATGACGAAATTTCTCTCGATCCCTGCGTTTTTTTCTACCAGCGTGCCAACCGAACAGGGATAGGTGCATAAAGCAGGGGCTGGATTGATATCACACATGGGTCCTGATCTCCCAAAACTCTGTTCAGTTGAGGTTGCAGTTGCGAGCGTTGCATGCGGCGACGTCGGTCGCAACGACGAAGACGAATAGTTAGCAATTTTATTTATTTTTTTATTTTTTTATTCGATTCTTGAACAGGATGCTGATAAAGGACATCAGAGACATCAAGAATCTGCCGACGGCCGAAGATGAGGTGGACCAGGAGGCGTTGGCCAGCGCTAAGTATGAGTTCGATCGTATCCCCATCTCCCCGCGGGCGTGCCTCCGGGATGTCTTCTCGTTAGAAGGACCAGCATTGGATTTGTTGACCATCGCGAGCGTGGAACGTGGTCGGTGCGCGGAGGCGCGTGGCTGTGGGTCGCGAGACGATCGTGACGTCCAGAGCGAGAGATGATGCGGCGTTCGATGAGAGAGATGTGGATGTGTGTGTGCGTGCGTGCGTGCGTGCGTGCATGTGCGCGTGCGTGTGCGTGTATTTGTATGTATGGCACAGGTTTCGTCTCGCACGAACACACGCGATAATGTTCCCCCTGCAGCGATAACTTCCCCCCGCAGCGGATAACACTTCCCCCCAGCAGCGATAACGTTCCCCCGCCAGCAGCTGATAACGTTCCCGGCCGCAGCGATAACGTCCCCGAAGCGATAGACGTTCCCCCCGCAGCGATAACGAAGTTCCCACCCTCGCAGGCGGTAACGTTGTCCCGCGCCCGCAGGCGATATGACGTTCCGCCCGCGCGATCCACAGCGTTCCCCAATAGAAGGCGGTATACGTTCCGACCCGCGCGCAGGCGAGTAAACGCTCTCCCGCCGTCCCCTCCCTGGCAGCGCATAAGCGTTGCCGCTCCGCAGGCGATAAACGTTTCCCCCTGCAGCGATAAACGTTCCCGCCCCGCGGAGCGATACGTTCCCCGCAGCGAATACACCCTTCCCGCTGCCCGCAGCGATCCACGTCGCGGTCCCCGCGGGTCTATCCCGCGCAGCGATAACGTTCCCTCCCCAGGGCGATAACGCTTCCCCCGCGCAGATACGTCCCGCCAGCCAGAACCCGCATGCGATAACGTTCCCACCCGCAGCGATAGCGTTCCCCCCCGGCAGTGATAAACGTTGGTCCGGCGGAGCCCGCAGCGATACAACGTTTCCCCCGCAGCGATAACGGTTCCTCGCCCCCCGCAGGCGATAACGTTCCCCGCCGCACGTCGATAAGCCTTGCCCCCGCCTGGCAGCGATAACTGTTCCCCCACCCCGCAAGGCGATAAGCGTTCCCTCACCCGCAGCGATAAGCCTTCCCTCCCGCACCCGCGATAACCTTGCCGACCTGCAGGCGATAACTTCCGCCGCAGCGATACTCCCCAGACCCGTCCACCCCCGCAGGCGATACCACGTTCCCCGCAGCGGATAACGTCCGCGCCTCAGCAGCGATAACGTCCCCATTCCCGCAGCCGATAAGTTCGCCCCCGCAGCGATGAACGTTCCCCCGCAGGGCGAAATTGTCCGCCCCCCGCCGCAGCGATAAACGTCCGCCCCTCCGCGCAGGGCGATAACGTTCCCGCCGCAGCGACACCTTTCCCCCACCCCCGCGCAGGCGATAACGTTCCCGTCGGCCAGAGCGATAACGGTCCCCCCCCGCAGCGAATAACCTTCCCAACCGTAGCGATAACGTTCGCCCGCGCAGGATAACGTCCCCCCCCCCGCAAGCGATAGGACAACGTTTCCAAAATGGGCCGCAGCGATAAGCCTTCCTCCGGTCCGCAGCGATAACCTTCCCCCCGCAGCGATAACGTTCCCCCCGCAGCGATAACGTTCCCCCCGCAGCGATAACCTTCCCCCCGCAAGGCGATAACTTCCCCCGCAGGCGATAACACCTTCCCCCGAAGCAGCGCGATTAACGTTTCCCGCCCGCAGGCGATAACGGTTTCCCCCCGGGCAGCGATAACGGTTCCGCCGAGTCCCCGCAGGCGATAGACGTGTCCCCCGCTGCAAGCGAATAACGTCCCCCCGCAGCGATAACGTTCCCCGCCCGTAGGCGATAACGTTTCCCACCCGCAGCGATGAACGTTCGCCCTCCGCAGCGATAAACTTGTCCGCCGCCCCGCAGGCATAACGTTCTCCCGCGCGCAGCGATAAGCGATCCCGCACCCGGCAGGAGGCGATAAACGTCCCCGGGGATAAGCGCGCCGCTGATAACGTTCCCTCCGCATGCGATAACGTCGCCGGCTCAGCAGGCGATAACGTTCCCCGCGCCACAGCGATAAGCGTTTCCCCCCGGCAGGCCGATACACGTTCGCCCCGCAGCAGATAACGGTTCCCGCTCCGCAGGCGATAAACCTTCCCCCGCAGCGATAACGTCCCCGGCCGGCGCAGCGATAACGTTTCAACCCCGCAGCGATAACAGTTCCCCCCGCGCAGGCGATAACGTTCCCCCCGCAGCGATAACGTTCCCCCGCAGCGATAACGTTCCTGTGCTGGTCCCAGAGCCTAATCTACCCGCAGCGATAACGTTCGCCGCCGCGCCAGCGAGTAACGTTCGCCACCCGCCACCGCGATAACGTTCCCAAGACCGCAGCGATAACGTTTCCCTGACCCCGCAAGCGATAACGTTCGTCCCGCAGCGATAACGTTGCCCGAGTGCCCGCAGCGGTAACGTTCGCCGCCCGGCACGATAACGTTCGCCACAGCCCGCGCAGCGATAACGTTCCCCAGCTCGCCGAGCGATAGACGTTCCGTTGTGTCGCAGCGATAACGCTTCGCCCCCGCCAGGCGATAAACGGTTCCGATGCCCGCGGCCCGCAGTACCGATAAACAACGTTCAGCCATGGCCCGCAGCGGTAACGTTCGCGCTGACACCGCGCAGCGATAACGTTCCCGCCCCGCAGCGATACAGTTCCCGCCGCCAGCGATAACGTCCCGCCCCCGCAGCGATAAAACGGTTGCCGCACCGCCAGCGATGAACGTTCCTCCGCCTCCCCGCAGCCGATAACGCCCCCCCTGGCCACTCGCGCAGCGATAACGTTCGAGCCCCATCGCCAGCGGTAAGTTCCGGCGAGTACCCCGGGCCCCAGGTGTTAAAATGAGCTATTGCGAGAATTTTTGCTCAGAAAGATAAAGTATAGCTGAATATGAGTCTCACCCATGACAGGCGAAAATATCACTGATAAGTACACCAACATTAAAAATACTAAGATTTTATGATAGCAAGTTATATAGCATAGAAAGAAGTTGGATATGAAACATCGTACCACAGCAATGCTTTTTATCATGTTGGCGACACATGCCTAATCGGCGAGAATTGGTAAAACTTGTATTTGTGTGTCGGCTGATGATTGAAAACAAGTGGCGCTGCCTTCCACTGTGGGTATGGCGGAGATAAGGCGGGTGGCGCCCACACAGCTAATTCATACTTCCTGTTAGTTCAAGATGAACAGAAAAGAATGTTTACAGAAAAACCGATTAAGTTCGGTGACTACGAAGGTCTAGAGACATTTTATGTTACTCTAGACATTGCTGTTACTCCAAGCAATACGGTAGGTATCATGAAAGTGGGGAAAACACTTGGAAAATTCTGCAGCAATAATCGGCTTTAAACGGTTTCCGACAGACGCAGCGATAATGCCCCCCCCCCGCCGCGCAGCGTCTGCCATCTGCAGCGATATACGCCCCCCACCCCGGCGCGCAGCGTCTCCCCTGGCAGGCGATACGCCCCCACCCCCGCGCGCCAGCGTCTCCCCTTGCAGCGATAACGCGCCCCCGCACCGCCCGCGCAGCAGCGTCTCCCCCTGCAGCGATAAGCCCCCCACCTCCGCACCGCAGGGCGTGCTGCCCTGCAGCGATAACGTCTCCCGTAAAACGGTTACGCCCCACCCCCCCCGCCCGCGCGCCGCCGCGCGCCGCCGCCCCCGCCCGCCGCGGCCCGCCCCCCCGGGCCGCCGACCCCCGCGAGCCCCGACCCCCCCGCCTTACCCCCGCGCCACCCGCCGGCGCGCCGCGCCCCCGCAGCGATTAAAGCGGGCGCCCCCACCCCCGGCGCGTCAGGTCTCGCGCTGGCAGGCGATAAGACGCCCCGCCAGTCCCCACCTGAACCGTCTTTGCGCGCAGAGTCTCCCTGCAGGCGATAGGACGCTCGCCACCCCGAGCGCGCGGAGCGTCTCCCTGCAGCGATAAACGCCTCGCCACCCCCCAGCGATAGACGCCCGGCCCACCCCCTGGGCGCGGCAGCGTCTGCGGCGCTGCAGCGATAACGCCCCTCACCCCCGCACGCGGGCGTCTCCCTGGCAGGGCGATAACGCCCCCACCCCGGCGGCAGTGCGGCCAGCGTGCTCCCTGCAGCGATAACGCCGCCCACCCCGCGCGCTAGGGCGTCTCCACTGCAGGCGATAACGCCCGCCCCACCGCCCAGCGCGCAGCCGTCTCCTGCAGGCGATAACGCTCCCTGCACCCGCCCAGCCCCAGCGGCAGCGTCTGCCACTGCAGCGATAACAGCCTCCCACCGCCCGCCGCAGCGATAACGCCGCACCCACCCCGGGCGAGGCGTCTCCCTGCAGCGATAAGCGCCCCCACCCCCCTAGCCGACGCGCAGCGTCTCCGCTGCAGCGATAAACACCCCACCCCGGCGCGCAGCGTCTCCTCAGCGATAGACGCCCCCACGCCCGCCGGCGCGCAGCGTCTCCCTGCAGCGATAACGCCTCCACCCCGCAGCGATAACGCCCCGCGCACGCACCGCGCGCAAGCGTCTCCCCTGCAGCCGATAACGCCCACCCGCGCGCAGGCGTCTCGCCTGCAGCGATTTTCATAGCCGACCGCACCCCGGCGCCGAGCGTCTCGGCCTGCAGCGATTAACGCCCGCCACCCCTGCGCCGCAAGGTCGTCTCGCCTTCAGCGAGTAACGCCCCCACCCCCAGCGCGCAGAGCTCTGCCTGCAGCGATAAGCTCCCACCGCCCCAGGCGATAACGGCCCCCACCCCGGCGCGGCAGCGTCTCCCTGCAGCGATAACCGCCCCCCACCCCCGGCGCGAGGTCTCCATCTGCAGCGCGATAAACGCCCCTGTGTAACACCCGCGCGCAGCGTCCCCTGCAGCGATAACGCCCCCCACCGATTGCAGCCCCCGCAGCGATAAACGCCTGCCCACCCGCCGGCGCAGGCGTCTCCGCTGCATTCGAGGCGATAACGCCCCCACCCCCGCGCGCAGGCGTCTCCGCCTGGCAGCGAATAACGGCCTCCCACCCCCCTGCAGTGATAGCCCCAATCACGCCCTGCGCGCAGCGTCTCCCTGGCAGCGATAAACGCCCCCCACCCGCGCGCAGCGTCTGCCCTGGCAGCGGATAACGCCCCCAGCCACCGCCCGCGCGCAGCGTCTCCCTGCAGCGATAACGCCCCCAACCCCCAGCGCGCAGCGTCTGCCCTGAGCAGGCGATAACGCCCCCCACTCCCCGCGCGCAGCGTCTGCCCTGCAGCGATAACGCCCCCCACCCCCAGGCGCGGCAGCGTCTCCCTGCAGTCGATAACTGCCCCCAACCGCCGCGCGCGAGGCGTCTCCAGCTTGCAGCGATAACTGCCCCCCACACCCCGCGCGCGAGGCGTCTCCCTGCAGGCGATACACGCCCCCCACCCCCGCCGCGCGCGCGTGCTCCCTGCAAGCGATAACGCCCGCCGCACCCCAAGCGCGCGCAAGGCGTCTCCCTGCAGAGATAAAGCCTCCCACCCTGCAGCGATAACGCCGCCCCACCCCCGCGCGCGAGCGTCTCCCTGCAGCGATAACAGCCCACGCCCCCACCGGCCCCGCGCGCAGCGTGCTGCGCCGCTGAAGCGATAACGCCTTCCCACCGCCCACACGCGATAACGCCCCCCACCCGCGCGGCGAACGTCTCCCTGCAGGCGATAACGCCCGCCACCCGGCGCGCAGCGTCTGGCCCTGCAGCGATAACGCGCCCCCACCGGGCGGACCCCCGCGCGCAGCGTGCTCGTCTGCAGCCGATAACGCCCCCGCACCCCCCGCGCGCAGCGTCTCCCTGGCAGCGATAACCCCCCACCCAAGGCGCCAGGCGTCTGCCATGCAAGCGATAACTGCCCCGCCACCCTGCGCGCAGCGTCTCCCTGCAGCGATAACGCCCCCCACCCCCGCGCGCAGCGTCTCCCTGCAGCGATAACGCCTCCCACCCCCGCAGCGATAACGTTCCGCGTTTTACGTGACAGGCTGTTTGAGGCGGCAGAGAGCTCGGCGCTGTCTCTCTCAGAGTTCCTCACTGCCGTGGGTCAGCTGCGATTTCGTGGCACCTCGCTGCTGTTCCGCCTTCCTCAGTCCATCGTCACCTACCTCCGGCGCGGGGGAAGGTACGTGTGCACGCGCGGCTGTACGCGCGGCCTCTGTCGGTCGATCCACCTCGAGTCACGCGTTCGATCACGCCATTGTTACTACGTTGTCGCGTGTTTTTGTGGCTTCATTATACGGGTATATACTTCGATATTTGTCGCCCTGGATTTCGTCTTTGCACACTGTCGTTGGTTATTTTCGTTTCACCCGATATTTTGTGATTCGTTGGTTCTGTGTGCGCACTTTCATTGTTTTGCAGTTTGAGCTTGGAGACTCGTTTGAGTTTTTTTTGGGGTCGATGGGTAGAACAGAGCACATGGTGCTTGTGTTTTTTATGCTTGATAAATGATAGAGAAGCTGTTAATAAGTTAACCACATTTAAAAAAAAGTATTACTGGTTTTATTCACGTATTTTTCCTGCTTTTTTTTTAATACAGTTTAAAATGTGATTGATGTTCTCATAATAATGGTTCACCTTACTATTGGTAATGAAAGTGTGTGTTAAATTTTTTTTAAAATGCATTAAGACATGTTTCCTCGTGGAACAAATGAAAAGCTTTCCAGTGAAAAACATGTCATAATGCGCCGTAAAATGATGTTAACTGTTTTGCGATTCGTCGTATTTTTTTCACGGAGCCAGTCAATCGCAAATTCTAATGTATACCCGTATATACATTACTAGAGCCAGAGATCTTTTGTATAGACATTTAAAAAAAAGTCAAGATCGATGTATTTGACGAAGCTCTCATTTTCGTCGCGCCTCTCATCTCGCGGCCATCGCATTGGCTTTGACATTGTTGTATTTTCTCCTCCCCCTCTCTCTCTCTCTCTCTCTCGCTAGGCCCGGTATGTTGGTGAAGAACGATAAGGTGCAGGAAGACGACCTCACTAGTCTCGCCCAGCCAGCGAAGAAGGTCCGAACATCTCTCACGATCGCAGACAGCAGGATGCCGAAACGAGACGGCATGCTGAGACAGAACTCGCACAAACATGGCCGCCGCTGTGAGTAGTGTCGTGGGGGGGGTTGTTACCTCGCTCTCTCTATCGATGATCGCGGTCTCTCTCTCTCTTTCTCTCTCTCTGTGTCTCGCTCCCTCTTTTACTCTATCTCCGCTCACTCTCTCTCTGTGTCTCGCTCCCTCTTTTACTCTATCTCCGCTCACTCTCTCTTTCTCTCTCTCTGTCTCTTTTCTCTCTCTCTCTCTCTCTCTCTCTCTCTCTCTCTCCTCTCGCTCTCTCATCTCTCTCTCTCTCTCTCTCATCTCTCTTCTCTTTTCTGTGTCTCTTCCCTAATCAGTGATTCAAAAAGAAGAATAATTTTTATGTTTTACAGTTGATTGAGTCCGCTGCTTTATAATCAGCCTTTGTAATGCCGCACGTGACATATCTGCATGTAAACGTGCGCAATTATAAATCAAATTAAATATCGATTAAATTATTAAATGTAACGAACATGCTTAAATTGCGCCAGACGTGCCAGTCCAGGCTTCAACCTCATATATTCTCGCAAACTCGCACATCTCTCGCCGCCTTTCGCGTCACACGCTCTCGGCCGCCTCGCGTGACACAGCTCTCTCGCCGCCTCGGCTGGACACAGCTCTCGCCGCCTCGCGTCAAACACCGCTCTCGCCGCCTCGCGTACACGCTCTCGCCGCCTCGCGTCACCACGCTCTCGCCGCCTCGGCGCGACACGCTCTCGCCCGACCTCGCGTCACGACGTCATCGCCGCCTCGCGTCACACGCTCTCGCCGCCTCGCGTCACACGCTCTCGCCGCCTCGCCCGGTCACACGCTCATCGCCGCGCTCCTCCTGGGTCACGACCGCATCCTCGCCGCTCGCCCACGTCACACGCTCTCGCCGCCTCGCGTCACACGCTCTCGCCGCCCATCGCCGCTTCAGCATAGCCGCCTGCTTCGCCGCGCTCGCGATCACACATCTTCTCGCCGCCACGCCGCTCGGCGTCACACGTCTCACGCCGGCCTTCCGCCGCTCACACGCTTCTCGCCGCCTCGCGCTGACACCATCTCTCGCACGCATCGCGTCACACGCCCTCCGCGCCCGCCTCGCGTCACACGGCTCCTCGCCGCCTCGCCGTCACACGCTGCTCGCCCGCCACACGCCGCCTCGCCCGTCACACGCCTCTTCCCGCCTCGCCGTCACGACGCTTCTCGCCGCCTCCCGTCACAACGTCTCCCGCCACTCGCGTCACACGCTCTCGCCGCTCGCGATCACCACGCTCTCGCGGCCTCGCGTCACACGCTCTCGCCCGGGCCTCGCGTCACACGCTCTCGCCACCTGCAGCCGTCAC